AGTTGACGCTATCAGATCACGATAGAATAGTGCAATTGGAGAGATTGATAAGCGGGTTAAGGGATGAGAGTGGCGGTTTGGGGGGGGGAATTGGAGGAGATAGAGGAGATGGGATACACCAGGTGCAAAGAAGAAAGAAGGGAAAGGGAAGTCAGTGGAGAGACCGGCAATCCCGAACAGGTAGAGGATGGAGATCCTGAGTAAGCAAAGGATGGAAATCCCAATCAAGCAGGCAGTGGCGACACCCAGGATTTTGACGAAGGAGAAAAAGGAGTGGAAGTCGGTGGCAGGACCAGCAATCTGAATTAAACCGATGACAAAGCCCATGGTTTTGCTAATGAAGATGGTAGCCAAACTGTCGTATAGGAAAAAAATGGAAGAGAAATCTTCGTTGCAGATATGGCGAGAAGGGTGGTGGCCCTTAAACCCGATGATGGGTTTGTGAAGGCGGAGGCAAAGAGGAGGGGACCCAAGACAGGGAATGTAAGGTTGTGGGATAGGGAGAGGAAGGTGAAGCTGAAGGCACCAAGGAAGAGGGACCAGAAGTTCACGATGCCGAAGGGAATAACTCTGGAAGCGGTACAATATCGGGTAAATAAGACCTTGTCGGACATGAATGTGGCGAGATTGTTCTGCGCAATAGTAGCAACAATGGTATATGGGGACATTGACCTAACGCTAGCAAGGGAGAGGGTGATGGAGATGGTGAAATTTTTCCCAGCGATTCGAGGAGCATTGGAGGAGATGGGATTGAAGGGATAGGACATGAGGCTTGACATGCCGAAAGTGAAGTTGTTTGTGGTGAGAGTGCCGTTCAAGGATGCCTTCAGGAAAGGGGGACTGGACATGGTGGAGGAGGATATTGAGAGGAGCAATGAGGGAGTGTTGCTGGCAATAAAACAAGCGTGTACAGGGAGGTTGGATACGATAAGGAAGAGAGGATACAGGGACAGGAGTATGATACTGGTAGTTGACCAGTCCCCTGCGGTTAGAAAAATGTTGGAATCTGGAAGACCAAGATTGGTGGTGAAGGGAGGGCAGAGGGATGAAAGGCTGTTTGAGGAGGGAAGATGGACAGTTCTTTGTGAATGTTGCCTTAGTATGGGACACAGGGCGGCCTTGTGCCGGAACTAGAGGAAATGCCGATGGTATTCAGGGAGCCACACATCGGGGACCCATGAATGCAAGGTGGTATCTTATAGGGCGGTGAACTGAGCATGCAAGCACACAAGGGGAAGATGTGTGATGTGTAGGGAGGGGGACCACTTGGCTGAATACCCGGACTGCCATGGTCTAAGAGGGGGAATGGCAATACAGGAAAGAGTAGGGAGGTCAACCCTGGTGGTTGCGGATGAGACATCAGTCACTGGAGTGGCAAACAAATCCAGGAATCAATTGAAGAATGCGGAGAAGGGGGTGAGGAGGATCCCAGTGGTGGATGTGGCAATGGAGGCCAAGGCCCATGGAGAAGAGGTAGTGGTGATAAAGAGTGGAAAGAACATTGCGACGTTAGAAGATGCCACGAGAGAGAAGTTGACGGGGAAAGAGAGGGAAAAGAAGATGTACTGCTTTGTTTATGGGGAGGAGGGACATATCAAGGCAAGACGCAAGGGGAGGAAGAAGGCTGTGGAGGTGGTGGACGATGAAGGGATGAAATTCATGTTAAATCTTAAATGAGGGTAAATATATGCACAGTAAATATGGGAGCGTCATTGGGGAATAGGATGCTGATGATGGATTGGTTTTTTTTTGTCAATGTATTTTTTATTGTAGATTCACCGGTGGATGTGGAGGGACAAAGGATGATGGTGGAGGGGGATGTATATAGTTTGTTTTCTTTTATGAAAGGCAGTAGGGTTGAGGTGTATGTAAGGGATGAGATGGTAGGATGCTTCGAGCTGAGGAAGCATACGAAGGCCTGGGTATTGGTTGGATACTAGGAAGATGGAGAGAAGAGAACAGTAGGAGGAGTGTATTTGAGGCCAGGGAGACTGTTGGGGGAGATAAGGGGGCAAATGGAAGGGATAAAAGAATGCAATATGGTGGTGGGAGACTGGAATGAGTGCAACCCAGTATGGAATATGAGGTCTGGGGACTTCACCACCACAAGCTACGGAAGGGTAATGGAGGAATGAAGGTTGAAGAATGAGTTCCATTGGTATGAGATGGAGAGGAAGACCTTTCGGAACATATCAACAATTGACACGATTGTGCACAAGGGGAGGATGCCTATGGTGAGGCAGAGTAACAGGACAGGCCTGGAACAAGACGTGATACTGACAAATGTAGAGGTAGAGATTCCAAGAAATATGGAGGAGAGAAGAATAGCATAGAGGAGAGTGGACTGGGGAAAACTGAGGAAGAAGATTGATGAGACGATGAAGAAGGACAAAGGGATGAGATGGGGGATGATGAGGGAGATGGTGGAAGGGTTGAAAAAGAAAGCACCAGGGAGGAGGAGGTGCGGATGGTACATGGAGGAGCTGGAGAAGATGGCTTTCGACGGTGTTGTAAAACGACTAATACGCCAGAACCTTTATT